AATAGTTACACGATCGACGAAAATAGTGACAGCATTGGTTTTAATACACCGTAGATGAGAAATGTTTGACAATTGAATTGACGAAAGTAGATGTTGAATTTATGACAGGATCGTTTAAACTTGAAACTGAATCGATGGGAAGGCAGTGAATCGACGAAACATAACTGAATCGACGACATGAATTTTTGCCCTTTTGGCCGCCCATAGGTCTGCCTGCGGGTGGAAAGTTCAGTTCATGGTGAAAATTAGGTCAAAGGTCAATTTCAAGGTCAAAGTAAGATTGCTATTATATGACTTTCTATTCAAGTTCAATAGTAGGCCTAACTATGGTTGTATCTCTGCTAATTTTAGAGTATTTCACATTTTTTAAAATGTCACCACTGAATTAAAATTTCACCACTGAATATTGCGCCATGGTACTTTTTGATATAGCGCAACTCCTAAATTATATCGAAAACAAAAAAGCGGATACCACTTCCAGTATTGTATTTGACAAGCTTTACAGAATGCAAAAATCAAGAGGTCTCTAGAATTAACGGTTCCAGAATTAGAGAGAGTTTTCAGTTTCGGTATATTATGACTGCTTCTCCCGTGAAAATGCACCGATTGTCCCCAAACTCCCGAAGATGAAAGCATTCCCTAATTGTAACCCCACAATGTAATATGAGAGCTTAGTTCTGTGTATTTTCTGAAAATTGGCACAAACAAATATATTTTTTGCAAAAATTTCCATTTTTAGAAAATGTTGGCCCGTTTCACCCTGAAATAAAGGTCAAAGGTCAAATCCAAGGGCATATTTGGAATCTTCACATATAATATGACTTTCGGTCAGACTTATATAGTAGGCCTAATTTTTCCCATAATTCCTTTGGTTTGGTAGATATTTGGCATTGAATTTTCGAAAATTTGGACAATGGTGCGTTTCAACGAGCGTCACGCTCAGGCCAATGCACCGACTGAGACCAAAAAAAAAACAAAAAAAACAGGGGGTTCAAGTTGAGATTATATGTGTCCTTAATCCAAGAGATGGGGACACGGGTCTTTGCGGTCTAGGAGGAGAAGTGTAACCTTGGTTGGTTACTAATTTTTGAGAGAACGGCGGCTTGAATACACGACGGATAAGATTGCGTTTTAAATAGTCTTTATTCCTCTCATACGGACTACAGGCTAGCACGCAGGCAGGGACAGTCGTGACGATCTCCCGGGGTCTCTCTCTTTTTACTAGCCCGCACCAGACGATGAGGAAACAGCTGAGCTGACAGTCATTCGAGGCCGTTGGCTCAGCATGCTAGATATTTTGAGAAACTGCCTCGCAAGGCGGATTCCACTGAAAAATCGTCCCCACACAGTGAGCTATCAGCTGAGCCAACGGCCTCGAATGACTGTCAGCTCAGCTGTTTCCTCATCGTTTGGTGCGGGCTTTAGAGGCCCATTTTTTATAGGGAATCGTACTGATCCCTGCGTGCGGTAAAACTATTAGTAAGCGTAAATAACTGTATCCGATATAAACAGCCGATCAGTAAAACTAGGTACAGGGACTCCAATATTTGTTACCGTTGCCCTGAATATGGATATATTCTCCGGGTTGGAAGGTTACATAACGCTCGGACCCGGGACCGGTTTTGACGAAATTATCTCAGGTGTGGCGTCTGTTTTGGTGGAAGAGATCAAAAGAGACAAATGGAAATAATGAGTACCTCTACGACTTTAGAACCGTCAACAGGTCTCCATTTTCTGTCATCTGAAAGTCTCTACCGAGACTTTTGTCCCTAAATTTGGTTTCTCTTCCGTGATTGTGAATGTAATTTAAAGACAGAGACAAACTGTATAACACTGCCGTGTTATAGAAACAGTAACGGTGACTTGTATCCGGCGCCAGAACGCGGAGCCGAGACGGGTCGGGACTAAAACCATGAGTACACGCTGGTGGTACTCATGAAAGTAACAGAACACACGGATAGGACGAGTTGGATTTAAACCTCCAAGTGACTGGCATAATATGTGACTTAATTTGAACTGATCCTCTCCTCGGTCCATAAAATAGCGTGATTTATATTTGATGCATTAGTTACCCGTAGCTATCATCAATTTGAGAAGGTCCGCAACAGCGTTTGGA